CTGGGGGGGGTGTCCCCTCATCCTGGTCTATGCCCTCTTGCAGTCTGGAAGCCCTCAGGGGATGTTTGACTGATGGCTTAGGCCCGCTCCCTACAAGGGAGCGGGCCTAAGCTGGCAGTTGGACATCCTTAGCACTGCCACGGAAGCGGGAGAGGCTCCCACCATTGCAACTGCGCTCGCCAACTATGATCCTGGCTTCTGGCTGAGCTGCACTCCCCCTGTGGGAGTGCACTGACCACCAGGGGGCAGCTCCTGCGTTGATCGTCTGCCCTCTGGTGGTCAGTGCGCATCATAGCAACTGGTTGATCTGCCTTAGCATATCATTAGCATATTACACTTTGATTGGTTGAACAGACAACTGGACAACCGGGCACTTAGCATATTAGGCTTTTATTATATAGGACTAGAATCCCGATGCATGAAATTAGTGCAAGAGTAGGCCTTCCTTCCCCCGGCTGCTGGCACCGGCTTCCCTCTGGCACCCAGGACCTGAGCATCCCTCCGGCTGCCGGCAGGCACCCGGGACCCGGGTTTCTCTCGCAGAGGGAGGCCCTGCCCACCTGCCACAGCCCACTGGTCAGTGGCCTGGGCCTCTCTCTTTGGGGCGATTGTGGAGCCCCCCGATTGATTGCCCTGCCGGCCGGTGGCCTGGGCCTCCCTCTGCGGGGAAATCATGGGGCGATGGCCAGGCCTCCAACCAATCGCATTGCACCCAACTTGGCTGGCCTGGCACCAGTGGGTGTCATAGCGTAGTCCCGGATGGTTGTCAAGGTCGTCCGGATGGTCATTCCGCTGTTCGGTTTGTTTGAACCAGCATCAATACAAACATATGTGTAATGCATTTCAATGTAATGTTATCATAGCTACAGTGTAACTAGGTCAGTGATGGCGAACCTTTTGAGCTCGGCGTGTCAGCAGTTTGAAAAACCCTAACTTAACTCTGGTGCCATGTCACATATAGAAATTTTTTGATATTTGCAACCATAGTAAAACAAAGACTTATATTTTTGATATTTATTTTATATATTTAAATGCCATTTAACAAAGGAAAATCCACCAAAAATATGAGTTCGTGTGTCACCTCTGACACGCGTGTCATAGGTTCGCCATCACTGAACTAGGTAATAGAAATTTTCCTGCTCTATTGTGCTTTTATGGGACCACCATTGTATATGTGGTTCATCATTGACTGAAGCATCTTTATGCAGCATATGACTATATATATATATATATTTTGGATTGTGTCCCATAAGTCCAGTAGGTTTTATTTACTTGAAATTTTTTGTATGCCTCTGACTACATAACTCAAATTATCTGTCATTAAGTTCATTGGTTCTTTCTTTTGAATGTTCTAGTCTGTTGTTGAACCTCTCTAGTGGATTTGCAGTTCAGTCATTGTATTATTCTGCTCCAGCATTTCTGTTTGGTTCTTTTTATGATTCCTGTCTCTTGGTTAAACTTCTTATTTGTACATGTATTGTTTTCCTGATTTAGTTGAGTTGTGAATCTCTGTTCTCTCTCTCTTTTTTAAAAAAATATATTTTATTGATTTTTTTACAGAGAGGAAGGGAGAGGGATAGAGAGTGAGAAACATCAATGAGAGAGAAACATCGTTCAGCTGCCTCCTGCATACCCCCCTACTGGGGATGTGCCCGCAACCAAGGTACATGTCCTTGACCAGAATCGAACCCGGGACCCTTCAGTCCGCAGGCCGACGCTCTATCCACTGAGCCAAACTGGTTAGGGCTCTCTGTTCTCTCTTATCTCACTAAGCTTTTTAAAAATGAATTTTGAATTATTTTGAATTTTTCCAAGGCAATTATTAAGTCTCCATTTCTTTGGGAACAGCTACTGGAGTTTGTTTTGTTCCTTTGGTGATATCATATTTCCTTGATTCTTCAGGTCCTTTGAAACCTGACACTGTTATCTTTACATTTGAAGAAGCAGTCACTTCCTCAACTCTTTCCTAACTAGCTTCAGTGAGCCAAGCTAGAGATACTGAAGTCTCTCAGATTTTTTTTTCTCTATCAATGCTGCTGCTCCATTCCTCTTGTTCCCCTTGAGAGAGAAATCTTAGACTGTGTGCCTTCTCTTGATACCACAAACCCAGGCTGGGTGCTGGGAGCCTCCTACTAATTTTCCCTAGGGTAATGCCCTGAAGCGTTTAATGTTGTGTACTCTCTGCCAATCTAAAAGATCCAGCTGGATGCTAGTATTTATATGCTCTCTGTGGAACTTGAGTACATCATCTGCAGGGGACTATGGGGTTGTCTACAGCAGGGTGTGGTGCATGAAGTGCTGGGGGTGCACACCACCTAGTTGTAGAGTCTTCAGTTAGGGGTCCTACTGGATTTGATGATGGGGCTCTTGTTGGAATCTGCTATACAATTAGTAGGATCTGCTGCTGGTTGAGATCCATGTATTGGTTGCTGTGAGCTTCTACCCTTTTCTCTGCTCTTCCCTTTCCTAAAATTATTCAGCTGTTCCAGTCCTCTCAATGTTATGGGTGAGAAGAGATGGAAATGGGCTTCTCGGGCAGCACCCCACAAGTCTGGGGAGGAGGAGCGCTCACTTTGCTCTCACTTTCTCCCATGGGGAAATCCTGGCCACCACAGTCTCTTTTGGCCTTGGAAGAGGGATGACTGTTCTTATCCTTGTCAGTGCTTCTAATCTTTTATTTATTTTTTGCTCCGCTGGTGTGCAGGAACCTCTCAGCTATACTCCCCGGCTTTCATAAAGGTATTCTCATTCATAAGTCATTGTGAAACTCGGTTTCTGTGGGGGTATGAGGTATGGATATTCTTATTTCATCATCTTACTGAAGGCCTTAAGAGATAGTTATTAATTTCAGCAGGTCTCAAACACCCAGTGGTATTTCATAGGACATTCAAGTTACTTTAAAAAAAACATACCTTTTTATTGATTTGATGACAAGGTTAGTGAAAACTGTTACTGAATGGGAATAGGAGGACAGTAGTCAAAGAGGAATCAAGAGGCATGTGTGGGGGTATCAGATGTCAGAGCAGGCCGTGGTTTCAGTGCAGATGAGCCTGGAAAATCTTAAATGTCATGCAAGTGAAAATCCAAAGGCTAGAGAGTTTGAGGAATGGCCCTATAGAGCAGGAAATGATATGACTTAATCCTAGAATAGAATCTGTTTTCTGACATAAAATCACGTCCTGAAATTACTAGTTTCTTCTTGCAATTATTACAGGTGAGCAGATTTGAAGTTTAATTAACTTTTTGTATCATTACAATGCTGGAGACATGTTAACTGTTCCTGTCACTTCTGATTGCATTCGAGCAATCAAAGCAATTCTGTTGCCCTCAGTGTCTTAGTGATGATATCACGGTGGAGACATTTTCAAAAAAGATTTTAATTGGATTAATTATTGTTATGGACATTGGAGTGGAATGTGTGTACTAAGTTAGTGAGCCAAAGGAAGATATGGTAAAAATGACAAGTGAAATAAGGAGGTAGATTTAAATGTAAATGAATTCTTGACTGATGGACAGTTGGATTAGTGTCTCATCTAAAAGATTATGCATTGGATAACAAAAATGTTAAATTTGGCATTTGTAAACTTTATTTCCTTTTTTGAAACTAAACTGAGTTTAGTTTGAATATAAACTGAGTTTATATTTTATATTCTATAATATGTGAACATTACGTAGTGCTAATATTTTTTTTCTCATTGCTTTAAAATTATTTCTGTTTCTGTAATAATTTTCTCCCCCTAGCCTGTTCCTGGAGTTACAGCTTTTAAAATTTAATTCTGACTACTTTTGATTCCCATATATTTATCATAATGTAATATAGTGCAATGATCAATTTAAGATTTTAGGCACACACATATACAATATACATAGAGCTCTCTCTGCATATGTGTATATTTAAAATTTAATTATATGATTATATACTCTAAATATCAATGATGTTTATTGTGTGTGTATGGATTTATACATACACATTTGAAATCTTCATTGTCAACTATATACTAGTATTTGAAGATTATTATATGTATCCATTTTATGTTAAGGATTATTCATAGAGCTTTTATTTGATAATAACTCTTTCTCTAATTGCCACATTATGCCTAAACTTTGGAAAAGCTTCCTCTTTATTTTAATAAAGAACCCCTAGACCCTCACACCTTTCATCTTTTCTTCAGAGACTATAGATTATCTTGACTTCTTTTGCTTGGAGACTTATATCTAATGGAAACCTTAAAAATACCATGTCAATTTTCAATAGTAGGAATAGCTGGAAGTTATAATAGATCAACAGAAAGATGGAGTCTTACTTTTTCAATAAATAATTACAATTCAAAATTCTTTCTGATATGTTAGTGTTAAAGTCAATTAGAGTGTATGATTTATAGTAAGGCGTAATGACATGAATATTGAATTAGATATTATTAGACCTGGATACTTGTCTGAACTTTACCATTATTTTCTCAGTGACCTTGGGTGAAACAGTCTTAGTCATTTATCATCAATTTAACAATATCTTTGCTGCCCACTTCTTTATAGTGTTGTCAGGGTTTGATTATATATGTGAAAATATTCTGTGAACAATGAAGTTCTATTTAAAGGTGAGTATTGTAAATAATAATGTGCCATGCACTGTATCAAGCACTCACATTGTTCTTACAAAATGAGGCACACAATGTTAATATTAAAACTTTACAGATCAGGAAGGTGAGGCTCAGAGTACCTAAGACCCCTGAGTTAGCTCACACTGTTGATGAGCAGGAAAGGCAAGATTTGAACACAGATCTGTCCGATATTAGAACCAGTGCTCATAATTGTACAGTTTTTGTCACTCCCCTGAATAATAATTGCCACATAGAATTATGCGTAAACTGAGTGAGGCAGTAAAAATGCAATTTTCTTTATTATCACATCCGACTTCTGAAGGTGAAACCAAAATGATATTTATTTTTCTTAAAAATAGGATGTTATGAAGTTCTAACCATCCAAATGTGTTTTGCCTTTAGAATTTAATTGTCTTGGATCCACTGACAGTGACTGAGGAGGAAATAAGACCATCCCTAGAGCAACGCCTTGAAGCCATCATCAGCGGGGCTGCTCTGTTGGCCGACTCTTCCTGCACCAGGGATTTCCATCGGGAGCGGATCATCGCAGAATGCAACGCCATTCGCCAGGCTCTGCAGGACCTGCTTTCCGAGTACATGAACAACGTGAGTAACTGTTGCCCCCATTCTGTACATCGGGTATGTGCCGAGTTTCTCTGTAGAACATGTGATAAATGATAAATAAGTGTGTGATTTTCCATAGATTGGTTTGCTGAGTGGGTTCTGCTCAAGGTGCTCACAGGGTGTAGCGCTGAGATTGGATTTTCTAGGGATGGAATCGAACCAGAAGGTTGTTTACATTTGATTGCTTTGTTTGAAATAGTAACTAAATATTAGTTGAAGAAGGGATTCAGGACTGGAGAAGGGAAAGTGGAGCTGTCCATCAATTTAAAGGATAAGAAGGTTAAGCAAAGGACCATATTCTCAGACTGAAGTTGGTGAATATCAAAGTCAGGATGTAGATAGTATTGGATGAAGTCATTGCTGCGGGGATCAGGGACCATTTTTGAAGATGTAAAAGAGCGCATTTAGTTTGGATGGCTCGTGACCCTTTTCAAATGTTATGAGTTGTGGCAGTTTTAACTAGCTTTTGGGAATATTAGGAATGCTGTCTAAATTTAGACAAATGCACAAAAGTTTCAAGGTCTTTTTGCTTTCAGATTTTATGTATTCATATATATTAATTCCATATATATACATTTTACATCCATCTGTGGAGTCTTACATTCAAATCTTAGTGCCATTTTTAAAATGAAGGAAGTCTTCATTGTCAACTCTGTATTGATCATGAAGCCTTTTTAAATAGAAGAGCTCAACAAAATGAAAGGTTTATAATTGGAATGTTTTGTTGATCTGCCTTATTATAAATGGAATAAAAATAGTTTCAAAACATTACTTTTTGAATGTGAAACTGAAGAATTGGGATTGTTCAGTATAAGTAACTTATGTGAATAATTGGTATGTGCTAAAATTAGTGAGTTTTAAGGACTTTTCAACATGTTTGATATAGCTCCTTGTTCTTAATTCTTGATGACTTTGGCACCTGACCAACAATCTCTTGTTTGTCAAGAAATCAGAGTTGTAAAGTACATTATGTTAATAAGAAGAACATGTTAATAGTGTCATGTCCTGCTTCTTAAGCTAAAATAGCCCCCCTTTTTTTTAACATATAATATATTCTTAAAGGTTTTTTAAGGGAATGCATCCATTATAAAAAACTCAGAAGGTTATATTGTATTGGAATTTCTTCTCTCCTGATCTGTGTACTTGTACATTATATTCACCTTTATAGATCAAAATAGCCTGAAGTTACATGTAAACTTAATTTATACATAAATATATAAAATTATAGATATAATTATTTTACCACATATAAACTTATTTTATTCTTTAAGATACAAACACAAACAGATGCACATGCACATACTCAGACACATGTATGGACAAGGATGGCTGCATAATTGTAGAGCCCAGTGCAAAACTGAAAATGCAAAGCCTGTTGTTCAAAAGCGGGGTTGGGGTGAGGGGTTGGGAGCACCTTTTTCCTTTATTCACAGTCTCAGTTGACGTGAGAAAGTTATTTTTATTTGCTATTTAGTGTTAGGTTCTCTAGAGCAGAGGGATTCTTGTGGGAGCATGCAGACCCTACAGGTGTTTGTGTACTTGACCTATAACCCAACCCACCATGACTGTGCCAAGGACCCTACCAGGAGTGAATGGTGGCAGCAATCACTGGGTGGGGGAATAGGCTGAGGACCTCTGCCTGCATGTGAGTCGAGGGTACATGCTTCATTGCCCCATAGGACTTCGCTTAATACACAACTTCAAAGGTAAAGGTGTAAAGAATATGAACACTGTGGTAGCATAACATTAAAAACCAAAGGACGTGTATACATGCATACAAGCATAACCAATGGACTCAAACAATAGGGGGGTGAGGGCCTGTACTGGGGGACAGGAGCTGGCTGGGAGAGGTCAATGGGGGAAAAGGGAGACATATATAATACTTTCAACAATAAAGAATTTTTAAAAAAGCCAAGGTAGGCCTTTTTGAGCAGAGGGCTCTGTGCACAGTCACAGGCCCCTGAAGCTGGTTCTGTACATAATAAACATACGTCACACAAAAATAGCAGTGGTTTTACGGTTTCTTCCACTTTGGCTTACAAACTATTTGGGTTGAAAACTATTCATACCAAAGGTGAAGTTATGGGAGCATTCTGCCTAGGGTGCAATCATTAAGAAGGTACAGTGTTTCTAGAAATTTATAAAACCAACTAAAAGTCGGTCTGCTATATATATCTGCTGTATATTATCACCATGTACCACCAATTCTAAATGTCACTGGTAAAATGTTTCCCACATAATTCTTCTAAATTCTAAGCAATTGGCTGTAGTTGTTGTTTTAATAATATGTGTATATAATTCAAATTAGCACACTTTAATGACTATCCTTTAGTAAACAGTATAGCCTTTTTGCACTGAAACAGCAGATTCAAAATTGACAGGGATGACACAATGATTACAAGGACAAAGAACTGGAGTTACTTTAATTCTGTTATTTTATGTGATCACAGAGGTTTGTTTTTAATTTAAAAATTATAATCATGGAACTGAATTCTGAGGGGTAATATTTTTGTTAGGTAAGTATAAATTTCATTCGTGAAATATTTCATTGAATTTGAGTTATAACTTTGAAATGTATTCTCTTTTTGAAAATTGTCTATCACTTTAAAGTTAAAGAACAAATTAGGAAAATAATGATTATTTGAGATTATTGTGGAAATGTAGTTTTGTTATATAGAGGAGAGAGGTGTTTAAAAAGGATGGACTCCCGGTATCAAATATGCTAAGTAAGGCACTGAAAATAAGTTTGCACTGTTCTATGTCTTCTTGCTTTTTTACTTATTGAGGATTTAATCTCATGTTCAGTTTCAAGGAGTCAAGTACACAAAACTTATGTTACTAGTATCTTTCTGTTAGATATTTTCATTTTAAAACAAGGTAAGTTCTGTGTTAGAAGAGTGAAGTGGAAAGCGACTTTTTTGTTTATAATAAATAACGCAGATGAAAGGTAAGTAGCTTTTCTTAAAGCTTGTCCAGATCATTATCTCAATTTTATCATTTTTAAGGGTAAATTTAATTGTATTACTATTTATACTTGATGGAGGTTGTTTTCTTCTTTCTTCCTCCTTCCCCCATGTTTTCTCTTCTCCCCGCTGGCAAAGAAGGGCAAACACCCCCAGCAATATCTCCCTCATGGCATTTCCCCCTTTAGAGCTCTTATCCCAGATGGGATTCCTCTGTTTGCTTGTCTGCCTGCTCCACTAGCCAGGAGCCCTAGGAGAGTGGGGACTGTGTTCCTGGAGCTTAGCATAGCAGGTGCTCAGTAATTATCATTTGGATACAGGTAAATGGAATTTAGTGCTTGCTGCTTCTCAGTCTTTTAAATTAAAACGACAACATGCCTGAAGCAATTAATTTGAAGTTTATTTACTGTATTTATATGATAAGTGTGGAGAGAATATGGAGGGAAGGTTCATGGTGAGAACAGGAACAGAGGAGAGGAAAGAGCAGAGTTGAGGGGATGTTCTTGGGGTGATCTAAGAATACTATATATGCCTTTCTCTTAGAGCAAATGTCAAATACTTGTTGAGGAAGGCATTTTTTTCCCTTTGGAAAGAAAAGACATTGTGTGTGTGGGTTCTGTCTGATGATTTGTTCTGATGTTGGTGTAGAAGTCAGAGTGGGAGGAGCTAAATTTATGGTGGTCCACAGGGTCAGATGCCCATTCATTCACACATCATGGAAACATTTCATTGATGAGTACAACCTATTCATAATAAAAAAAATAAACTTACAGTACTATGAAAAAGCACTCCAAAAGCAATGTAATAGTTTCTTTTCATGTAAAAATGCAGAATTTTACGCCTAATACTAGTGTCTGACTGAGCTAATGAATATTAGAATTAAAAGCAGGAACCAATCTGGAAAACTGTAGAATAAATGATCAGAACATATTTCCAGGTTTATTTTTACTCTAGGTTTATATCACAAATGATGTTCCCTTATCGCTGTTTCATCATCTTTAATGAAAGGAAATGCACGTTCCTGGGGGACTACCTGAACTCAAATCTTTCTCGGTTCTCTCAACGATTTTAGGACAGCTCCTGTACTTAAGTCCTCAGCTTCATAATTTAAGGAATATTGTTTCTCTTTTGTTGGACCTGGTTTGCTTTTCCAATTAGCAGTTTTTGTAATTGAGCTATATCGATAGAGTAACTACTTGATGATAATTCAGCTACAATAAAGATAATCATGAACACTTAAAGCAGGAATAATACTCATCAAAATCTGTAGATCTCTTATGTGAATGTGGTTTTAAGGCTTCAAATTTTGCAGGTGTAAGGAGCCCAGAGAAGTAGGAAATAAATGCAATTTATGTTCTTTTCAGACTCAATTCACATGACCAGTTTGAGTGTAACTTTACCTCCTTAAACAGATCACTAAGTCTTAATCATTTTTTAAAAAATATATTTCATTGATTTTTTTTACAGAGAGGAAGGGAGAGGGATAGAGAGTTAGAAACATCAATCAGCTGCCTCCTGCACACCCCCTAACTGGGGATGTGCCCGCAACCAAGGTACATGCCCTTGACAGAATTGAACCTGGGACCCTTCAGTCTGCAGGCCGACACTCTATCCACTGAGCCAAACCAGTTAGGGCTCAATCATTTTTTTTTTTTTCACTGAAGCTATTATTCAGTAAGTTCATTGTCTTATCACATTGGTAAGAAATTAGTAGGAAATGAGACCAGATGGGTCAATAACAAATAAAACAGACAACCACTTAACAGTATTAATGATTATATATGTTTGCCCTAATACTTTTCTTCTTTTAAATTTGTGTATATATATTATATGTGTCACAATAGACCTTTCTATTGCTACTGTAACAAATTCCCACAAACTTAGTGGCTTACATAACACGGACTATTATTTACAGCTCTGTGGGTCAAAGTTGGACACAAGTCTCCCCAGGTTGAAAGCGGAAGTGTGAGCAGGGCTGCATCCTTCTCTGGCGGCTGTAGGGCAGACTCCTTTCCCTTG